GTAATTTACTTTGAAATGTCTATGTTGATATAAAAAATAAGATAATATGTATATTTTCTATGGGTCTCGGAAGATTTGTAATGAAAATCAAACTTCTCACCTTATGCTTTATAAAAAAAAAAATAATATTTTACTAAACCCAAAGGCTTGGTTGAAAAGATGTATGTATTATAGAATATAAGTGTTTGACATGACATAATGTTTTAGATGCTAAATATAAAGATGAAAATATGAATAATGAACAACTAACTCTGTCATTAAAAAAATAATTAACCAATTTTTTCAAAAGAAAAATAAGCTCTTATAATGTGATCTTCATAAGAGGTTTAAAGATAGATGGTGTAGAAAAAGTGAGATCATTTTACGTTGATTTTATGCATGTTGTCAGGTACTCTTCCATTAAGTTTTACGAAGTAATTTTGATTTAAATCTTATACAAAATAAAGTAAATTATTTTTATAATTCTTTAAAGTTTGATGAATAATTTTTTAATAAAGTACCATTAGATTATCTACCTTGTAAGAATTAAGAACACAAAACTGAAATTTAAGACAAAAAAAAGATGCAAGAATATTTTGTAATATTATTACAAATAAATATGAATATTATATACTTCTTTAATAATTTATCTTTAATTTTTTTTTTATGGGAATGAGTAAGTAATTTATAAACGGAGTTTTAGTTTTATAGCCCTTACAAGCGATAAGAAAATGAAAGAAAACGAATTGCATTGAGTTTTTGAGTTTACGCCGTCCAAAATATCCACACGGCCACAACTAAATCCTGTCGAGAATCAGGGACCCACCGCTTCAACTCTCACACAATTGGACCTAAAAGAACGTGGGTCCCACCTTTGCTCATTTGTCATGATTTTATTGCGCCAATCGCAAATTGGAGCTCACCTACTCGTCATATACCAACTAACACAAAAAAACTTCTAAATTAAAAAAATAAATAAAAATTATAAATTATATATCAGTCTCAGGTTGTCCCTTGGCATCTTCGTCACTCGGTCAGCCAAGTACCTTGAGACTACAAAGCTCCTCGATTTTGCCACGTGTCCCCATTTCCTCTCCCGCGTCATACATCTATCCGTTAACCCTAATCGCTCTTTCTCGCTCTCTCTTCTCTCTCTTCCTCCTCTCTGCAACTCTTCTGCCCCAGAAGAGGAGAAGAGAACGCGAACACAAAGATCCATATATAAGACAAACAAGAAAAACAAGAAAATTGGAGGAAGATGGGAAAACTTCTATGCGATACAACCACTGTTGCCGAGACATTTCAGACCTCATCCCCCACCGTATCTTGGAGGGAACCGAAGACGGCGTCTCTGGAAGCTGTGGATCTTGTTGACCAGTCAACCAACACGGTGACTGCCACTTGGGACGACGTCGTAGGTCTGGAGGATCAGCAGAGACGGCATCTAGAGAGGCTGCAATCCAAGGGAGTTCTGTGGAAGCACCCAGGGGATGACTCTGCCTCTGTGGTCTTTCGCCTCTCCCATGGAGGCGAGGTCTCTGCAGATGGAAACTGCCTTTTCACTGCCTCGCAGAAAGCCATGGCGCGTGAGGTTGACGCGCGGGATTTGCGGAGGCGGACGGTGCGGCGGTTCTTGGAGATCTTGGATCGGTGTGCCAGGAGGAGAGAGAGGTAATCAACGACGCGATTCGTCACATGTACTCGCCGGATCTGAAGAACGGGTGGGGCATTCACGTGGTTCAAGAGGTCAAGTTGCTTGCCAAGAAGGAAGATCGGGTGGTATTAGATTCAGCTATTGACGAGCTTATTCAGCTGGGGATGCAAAGGTATTTTTTGCGCTTTTTCTTGTTACGATGAGTCGCTCTTCCCTTTGTTCGTTTAGGTCTCCAAAAAGTTCCTAAAGAATGTTGGAGCTCCAAATAGCCCGTTTGGTTTGTGAGGAAATGGAGCAAATGAAAATTTTCAAATCTTTCGAGTCATTAATTTTCGTCGTGCGCAGAGGTAAGAGAGGAATATTTGATGTATAAGATCAAAGGCAAGATATTCATGTAAAACGAATTTGATGTATAAGATATAAAGAAAATGACATTTAATGACTATTTTCCCCGTTCACTGCTTAAGAAAAGAGCACAGGAAAGAAAAATCATTGCTTAGCCGTTGGGCACATATTTTAGCCTTTCAAATTGGAATTCAAATAATAAAATTTGAATTGAAAAGAGTTGAAGTCCATAATTTCCTTCCTGTTAGGGTTTTTGTTTATTAACTCTGCTATGGCCAAAGAAAGAGAGTTCTCGTATTGGTAATCAGGGTTTTTGACAAGTGTGATATCTTTTTCTTTGTTTTCTTTGATTTTGATTCACGACTTGATACAAATCTACAAGCATTCTGTTCTCGATACATGCTTCTATACTATTGCAAATTTTTTATCTATCTTTTCGCTGTAAGATTCCTTTCATGCTAAGGTCAGGTTCAATCTAAAAGTACAATGTATCATTTATTATTTAGTTTGAGACACTTTTGTGTTTTATTGCAATTAAAGAAGCATCTAGTTTTATCTGTTTTTTTATTATTTATTTTTTTCTGATTGAAGAGAAATGGCTGCTGAGTCTATTTACAAAGAGAGATGTATTCCGGTGAATGATGGCTCAAGTTGGGCCAAGTACATGTCGATCTGTGGTTCTCCTGATGATGAATATGATATCATCACTTTGCAATATACTGAGGAGGGTTTGTTATCTGTAGATGAAAACAGAGAAGGTCATGCTGCAGCTTTTGGAGATGATATAGCAATAGAGTGTCTTGCAACAGAGTTCAAGCGAGAGATATATGTGGTATGGATTATGTTTGGTTGTTATGGTTTGAAATTGAAACTATCTTTCCATTAAGTTGGCTGAAACATTGTATTTATGCACATTTTGCTACAATTTACTTGAGATTATTACATGTTTGGAGGCTGTTTGGTATTAGTGTGTTTGTGTTTTAATTACTGGAAGCAAGTATTTTCTGATTTAGAAACAAGCAATCATGTTTTAGATGAAATTTTTTTTTTCCATAAAAAATAATAATATTGTATTTATTTATAAGAATTGACATCTATGAAAATTATTATTATTTTTTAGTCAATACATGCAAAGATGCAAAGTAAGGAGATGGTTGCTAATTATTTTCATGCTAAAAGCTTCTAACTGTTACGTATTAATCACCTTGTTCTTATGTTATCAAATGAATAGATAAAAACAAGGTTTAGCTGTTTATAAGTAACAAATTAGCAATCTCAAATGCCTTAGCAATTTTAGTTATGTTTTTCTGGTGTTCGTTATGCTATTTGATCTCATATGCATGTTTTTCCATGAACATTGTGTTTTGATGTTTATAATAATTCTTGTGAAGTAATTTAATAATGTTCTTAGAATAAACAATGTTTTGATTTGCTTGCTAATGGTCTTACCAAATCTGATAATCCTAAACATCTTTTTTCTGAATGTACTGATAATCCTAAAGATTGGTATTCCATCACTCATGTTGGTTCGTTCACTACCTTTGTTTAATAGATGTATTCAAGGTTGATATCTCTTACACTTATGGGTGTTGATCTATGTGAATAGCCTTTTGTTCCTCCGCAAATTAAGTTTCAGAAGGTTCTTCTCTAAGGTTTTGGAGGCCTTGTGTCCTTAAATGCTCTGTATTAAGCGCACATTTTTGTCTGATTCTCTTTAGATTAATGAAGAGGAAAAACATCTATCTAATTGTAAATATTTCGTGTTGGAATACTGTTTCTTTTGACTATTTGATGGGTTTTCTGTTATTTTCATCATGTTACGGCGGTTGGTCTTCTCCTTTTTTGCTTAAGTCACACCTTCCTTTTCTACCCAACACACCATACAGAAAATAATATTGCTTTTTACTAAACACGTGCTCATTATTTATAGGTGCAAGCACATGGATCAGATGCAATGGTAGATGAAGACAATTGTGTTTTTTTCCTTCCACATCGTCCAAGAAGTGAAATTTGTGAACCCCCCTTCTTTTTGTTCATGAAAGGAACAGGTAACAAGATAGTATGGTTTATTAAGTTATTGGTTATGTGCATGGTTTTGGGCTTTAATTTATTCTATCATATTAGCTGCAGTTTATTCATTTATTGGTAAACTCTTTAGTTGGTTATTATACATTCTCTCCTTTTACTTGCAGGCTGGTGTGGTGCTGGTGCTGACCACTATGAACCATTGATTGCGCATCCTTCCTCACTTGTTTCACAAGAGAAGGTTGCACTGGTGCTCTGACAGCATCACCCATACAATTTTGTGCCTTACAATTTGAGTAGGAGTTTGAGCTTTTCCCTCCAATGTTTGGCATGCAATCTAGTTCTCTTGATTCTTTCTGGGGTGGCAAGCAGAATTTCATTGCATATCGTTCATTTTTTCTTCTGATTAACATTATTTAGCATCCCGTACCCATGACTCTTTTAACTTGCAGGTTTTTTTGCCTGCACATGAGCAACTCTGTAGTATTTTTAATGGTTTTGGCCGGCTGCTGTTGTTGTTGAGTTTTTTTTTTTTCTTTTTCGAGGGTGATTGTGTTGTCTAGTGGAGGTGCTATTTCACTCAAGCTGGAATAGTGTTGTATGGTATGCTAGACTCCGTTCCTTGATAGGAATGACTTTGTTAGTTTGCTCGGAAATGGATAGGATTTTATTCGTTTATTCTTTTTTTTTTTTGGGTGTAAATCTTGAGGAACCTTGTGCCAATTTTAGGTAGGTATTATCTTTGTGAAAGCATCTTTCTAAGTGTAATGCTTTCCCTTCTGCACATCTATACAAGATTGTTTTCTCTTCACAAATTTTGTGGTGTCAGATATCAGAAGCTCAGTTCCTATGTCAGGGAAATTTGATATGAGGTTGGTTCCTTTACCTTTTGCACATCTATACAAGATGCTTGAACTTGAGGTTATGAAAATGTAAAAAGTGAAAAACAACAGTTTGGTCCTTGGAAGATTATGAAAAGTTTTTCTTTGGAAAAGGAAAAGGTCATATAAAATTAACCATAAAGAGATTGCCAAAAGACGTTTAGAACATGGAAATAGAGAAATATTTTTCTCTCATTAATACTAGGGAAAGAAGATAAGAAGGAATAAGTTACATGCGTTCCTTCTCAAAAGACCAAGATTCTCTAAATTTGAGAGAACGAATGAAGTAGAAATGAATGGAAAACTTATTTTTGGTTATTGATTGAATCAATCTAACTTTTTGTTATTATGTTTTACGAAAAATTATGTTGTTATATTTTTATGTTTTCAAAATAAAAATTTGTATATTGATTATGTAATACTCGAATTTGAAATTTGGTTAGGGATCAATTTTTGTAATTATAAAAATAATAAAAAAATTATCTTTAATTTAATTTTATTAAATTATTTGAAAAAAAATAGGTTATGAAGGTAATTGAAAGTAATTTTGAAGAAAAATGGTGAAAATTTGAGTTTAATGGGTGTTTTTGAAAGAAAAATTAGAAATATGAAATTAAAATGCAAAAAGAAAAAATTCAGCCATGTGAAACGATCCAGTCAGCAGCCACGATGAATTAGAGCATGTCGCGTGAAAAACACACTGACGTTGGCGTTACGCAGGCAATCCGCGTGCTTTGTGATCCGACAATTTATATTCGATCCCGCGCACTTAAACGGCTCAAATTCATTCCATTTTAAGCGCGACCGGACAAACGAGATCAATTGCGATGAACAGTCCAGATTTGCCCACACAATTGGCCTAAACAAGTAATGATCGGACGACTCTCCTCGCTCTACATTGAGGTGAATGGATAGCCTAGATCGACGCGGAATAAGTATAAAAATATCGTGTCGCACAGGAATCCTAACCTTAGCTGCCCAGCCCTCGTCGAAGAAGAAGGACCAGCTGCTGGAGAAGAAGGTCGACCGTCGACCGCCGCAGCACCGGAGCCACCGCCGATCGCCAAAAAAGGTAAAAAAATTTCCTACCAGCTTGAAATTCGATTTCAAGCCTCTTGGAGTAAGAGGGACAGCGGGTGAGCCGAAAATCACGGATAAATCCAGGTGGAGCAGCCATGGCCAAAACTCAAAATCCCCTTCGATGAGCTTCTTCCTATTTTCTATTTCACGCGATTTTTTGACTATTGTGTTTACTATTTTTTTTATGCAGGTTAGCCGAAGAAGAAACTCCAGCCACGAAGGAGAACCGACGGAGCTGCTGTACTTGGAGACCACCCCCCTCTCCCCCTTCCACACAACCGGTAGGTTCAGTTTTTCTATGATTTCCGACAAACCAAGATCCCCTAACGTATTTTTTTGTAGGGATATGTGTAAAAACTGGCAAAAACCGATCAAGCCAAGACGAACCACCACTATGGGCAGCAAAGTTGGTGCCAAAGCACGACGGTGGCGCTATGCCGGAACTTTAAAATTGGCCAGAAAAGATTTTTAACACCAATTTTTGATTTTTTGAGGTATTTTTAGATATGTGACAAGTATTTTGGGTTCCTGTAGGAAAAATTCAAAAAATTCGGGATCCGTTATGAGGCGTAGTAGATAGCATGACGTCTTGAAATACCGATCCGGATAAAGATCTCTCTCTCTCTTCCCTGTTACGGTAAATGGAGGCTTAATAATTAATAATTGTGTATTTTTTGTAAAAACTAAAAAAATCTTAACAATAATTACAGGTCACTAGTGGAGTTAGAAACTGGTTAGTGTATATTCGCCCTAAGCTCGTATGTGTTACCTCTTTACTTTTTTATAATGCCTAAATTGTTTGTTGGTCCACCGTATGATTTAAATTCTTATATTTAATTGCTTTCTCGTTATTGATTGTCTGATTATTATTCTTATCTGATTGACTGAGTTGAAAATAAAGGTCCTAAGTACGTTTCTCGGTTATTAAGGTATGAAATTGTGTTGTTTGCATAAATGTCGTTTAATTAATCTGTGAATATGATATGAGAAGTTGGTATGCGCTTGGTGTTTGTTTTATTAATGAAGATCTTTATGTGAAAGACTTATTGGGTATCCTAGGAAATGGCAGATGGCCCCGGTACATAGAGAACTTTACCATGAATGTTATCTCAGTCGAACGAGACTGATAAGTCCCATACCGGACGGGTTTAGAAAATATAATTCACTCTGATACCGGACAAAGTATCGAGACATGAAAGATTTGGTGCCTATTACTAGATGAGATATGAGGACGACCAGTTAATTAATAAATTTGGATATTTTGTTTACTAATAAGGGGACATCCTTATGGATCCTTAGGAATATCAATAAGCAAGTAAGAAAGGAAAATTGTTATTTTTTGTTTACTTTTGTATGAAATTAAAAAGTTGTATGGATATTGGTTTTCATATTTTGACTTTTGAAAAACTCATAACGGTAAATATGGAACAAACAGTTTTTTTCATGATAAATAAATTTACTTAAATTAAGGGTTTCATTAGTTATTTTGTAATTTTTACCAACTTTTGCTTTCCGTATCAGTGATTAGTGTGATATTCTTACTGGACTAATGAAGTTCAGAATTCTATTAACCATTTCAGATGAAGAAAACCAAGATCCAGATCCCGATCAGCAAGAGGGTTATGAGTAATTCACCTTCCAAACTCCTTTCAAGTGTTAGTTGAAGATTATTTTAGCATGCTTATTTATTCGCATTTTCTTTAATTATCGTTTGTCTTTTAGAAGAAAAATTCTCATAACCCTGTTGGGCAATATAATTTACTGTGTAAGGATTGTAAATCCTAACATTATTATCGCTTCCACATTTAAATTATAAATTCATTTTCTTTAAAGTTTTGATCCTTTACAGATCAATTAAGTAAATATATATATATATATAGATCAATTAAGTAAATATATATATATATATATATATCCATAATGAAAAAACACAGGAGTATGCATGCTTGAACTGACATGTTTGCATTGTTTCTATAATTATTATATTTATCCTATAATTACAATCTCATTACAATCATATTTGCATTGCATGGTTTATTGAGCATTCACTATTTGTAAGTAATTTCTGATAAATATTTTTATCTAATGTTATCATGAGATATTTAGTAAATACATATTTGAAATAGTTTATGATAATAATACTATATTACAGTTAATATGATTATCTTCCTAAGTACATTACTCTTAAAAACTACATAAATCAATGCAGCGAATGACTAGTTTACAATTGTATTGTTGATTAAAAGGTTAACATGAAGATATTCACTATTGATGTTTGATGTAATAAGTGCTTTAAATATGAGATTGTGATAGTGATCAAATGCACAAAAGCTCAAATATTGCTAATTAGGAAGTTCAAGTTTGTGAAGATGATAATTTGATCAACATTGTTGGTCCAATGACAAGTTCAAGAAGAAAGAAAATGTAAGAAGACTTGAAGAATTTGATTAGCACAAGTCTTTCACTAGAATGCTCCAAAGCTCACAATGCGAAGTCCATAATTATGAATTTCATGACCGTTTCAGATCATGGGCCAATAAAGGCTAATGGATCATATGAATGATCTTAATCAACGGGTAACTGTTGCTATCATTTTATCTTAATCAACGGGTAACTGTTGCTTATCATATTGTATGGTTACTTGTTTTATATTTAATATTATAAACAAGAAAAAAAAATTTTAGGTGTGCAAATTAAAGTAGGTATAAGCTAGAATCCGTATAATTCATGATTTAGGGAAAATAAATTTTCTATTTTTTTAGCAAGAACACGAAGTTTGATATATAGGTTTTGATTTTAGAGAGAAATTGTCTTTGATATATAGGTTTTGTGGTTTTAATTTTCCAAATTGATATATAGAAATTTTCACCAAAGAACAAGAAAGATTTTTTCTCCCTAACTTTTCTCTCTACCCCTCTTTCTAATCGATGAAATTTTAGAAGTAGCACCTCTACCTATCGTTTGGGAATCATAATTTAATTTAACTAGCCTAGTTTTCTAATTTCTAACTTGGCTAATCATAGAATTGGAAGTTAGATATTTGATATTTACACATAAATAAATTTCACACTATAAGATGTTATTAAACTTATTTCTTGAACTTATTTAGTCACTTTAATTATATACAACCTTCATGATAGTATATAATGTATAATTATTATTAAATATACGTAGGTATGCTAATGGAGTCATAAGTTATATCAAACAATGCAAGAGTATAATAAGCATGAACTAGAAATGAATATTTTTTTGTATTTTATAATGCTACTTAATAGTTATTTTTTTATTTCAGTAAATAATTTTATTCATGTTTATAATTTAATCGATATATTTATATACCATCATGGTCAATAATATTTTCAAGATTAATTGATTCATTTTAATGTTTTATTCCTTATTAATATATCTATAGATGATATTATTATAATAGTTATCCTTAAAAAATTAATTATAATTTTGTTCAATAGTAGAAAGTAAACAATGAGGAGAAACTAATAGAGACGTGAAAGGGAAATAGAGAAATAAGAATTTCTCTAATGATGATGAAAGTAGATTAAGAGAGGAAGAAAATAGAAATTAGAAGAAAATTAAAGATGTTTTTTGATTTTGGGGAATGTCATTTGATGCTAATATAATTTGGAAAACATTTAAGATTAATAGAAAAACAAAGAAATTCTGGTCCCGAATTAATTATGTTAAAGTTCAGGGATCAAATATAAAAAAGAAATAAGATTCCTGTGCTAAAAATGTTTTTCAGGCAGAAAAATATGGCTATTTCAGAATTAAAAAGCCGGATGGCAATGCGGTTTGTGAAGTCTCAGATTTTTGATTTGGCGCTCGTCCACTGTCACTGTTCTTGGTCAACATTACCTGTATCATTTTCTTGCAAACACCAAGCATAAGGAGAGTATCAGCGACCACAAAATGGCTGCCACCACCGCATCCGGAACTGAAACAGTGACTTCTAGAAACAAAGTAATTGATTCGCATCTCCACATATGGGCGTCCCCTGAAGAGGTAAGCACTTACAGTGCGCACACATGGCCGCTTCCCGTTTCTTGAATGGAAATAATTGCTATTGGATTTCAAATTAAGAGAATGTTTAAAAATAACATAACAAATTTATGCCGATAATTTATTTTGGTCATGTTTTAGGCTAAAGATTATCCGTACTTTCCTGAGAAAGAACCCACTTTGCCTGGAAATGTTGATTTCCTGCTCCAGGTAAGTTCATTCCATGTGTATTGTGTTTATCGTTGCTTATGTGTGTGTGTGTGTATATATATACTGGAAATTTGTTCGCATATTACCGGATTCTATATGTGGCAAGTACTGCTTTGTGATTTAGGTATATAAGTTCTTTTTTCGTTGCAT